GGGCGAGCGGCCCCGGGGTCCTGGGGCGCCCTTCCTCCCTCATGGAAGCTCGAAGACTCGGCCCCCACCCTTCTGGCATATTTCTCTGCGCAGAACCGATACCTGTCCCCAGGGTCGCGGTGGAGATTCGTTTTTCCAACAGCCCAGTGTGCAACCATCATCTTGGCACCAGCCGCCCAGACCCTGCCCCCGGATGCCCGAGCCAGGACCTTCTCACCACGCTCTGCCCCGCCCCTGCCCCCTGGCAGGCCATGCAGGGTGGCGGTGACGGGGCCAGAGGAGGGGCTCGGTCAGGGCCTGGGGCCCCTCCCTCTGAGCTCATTCGGTTCGGTAACTCGGCATCCTTGTCCCTCAGTCCCTCAATCCTGGGGGGCGGTGGCTGCTCCCTGCTGGGGCTGCCCCCCGACTTCTTGGCGTTTCTTTTGTGCCCTCTCTGTCGCCCGGTTCACAGTGGATATCAAAGCCTCTACATTCAAAAGCTCGGGGAGTGTCTGGCGTCTGGAAATCGGATCCCGGCTGATTCATCCGAGTTTCTTTCTCCACGTTCTCCTTTAGTGATCGCTCAGCAGAACGGTTTCCCGAGACTCCGCCGACCTAATTAGATTGCGGTCGACCTGTGTTCCTGAGGGTTTCTGCTCCAGGCTCCCTGGCGGACTCTGCCAGGCTCCCCCGAGACGGGAGCCGTACCCCCTTCTCCCCGCCTCCCTCCCTCCCCCCTGGGTCCCCCCGCAGCTACAGCGGGGCACTTCCCAGGAAGGTCGCCACAGGTGCCCAGGTCACCCATTCCTCTGCTGGTTCTTTCTTTGGCTTTATTCTGGGAGGGCGACAGTGTCCGATCTTATTTTCAAATCCTATGTTCCGTGTGCCACCGTCTGAAAAAATGTCCTCCCTCTTCTCCAGGGCGGGTCATGGGCATCCAACCTACATCTGGTTCTCAAAAGATGGGAGGCAGCTTATCAGAAAAAGCGTGCGTGTGACGTGCAAACACAGATTCAACGAGAACGGGAGTTTAAACATCGAGGGCCAGCCCTGGCCGGTGTTGCTCAGTGGATAGAGCGTCGGCCCGAGGACCGAAGGGTCCCTGGTTAGATTCTGGTCAAGGGCACATGACCTCGGTTGCAGGCTCCTCCCCGGCCCTGGTCGGTGCACAAATGGGAGGCAACCCATCCATGTGTCTCTCTCATATGGCTGTTCCCCTCTCTTCCTCCCCCCTCCCTTCCAATCTCTCTAAAACTCAGTGGGGAAAATATCCTCCCTTGAGGATTAACAACAACAGCAACAAAAAAATCTAGGGTCAGATGTGACTTTTTTTGTCGGGGAGGGAGGGAGGGAGAAGGAGAAAAAAGGAGAAGAAAGAAGTGGGTGCAGAATTCCAGGATGGAGGGGAGCTGCCACGTGTGTCCTCGCCCTCACGGCCCAGCCCTGGGTCGGTGTCCCCTCCTGTGCTCTGGGAAGTCCCCCTGTGGCCCCGCACAGCAGGCGTGGCCATTGCTGACCGAGGGCGGGGCCTGCCCCTTCCCAGCAGCTGTGTTGACACTAGACCAGGGCCCCGTGTTTGAACACGAAATCGAGTCTGTCCCCACGGCTGAAGCCAACCAGGAAGCGCGATAACACAGAGCCTTGCCTTCTTAGGAAAGACAAACATCGTCTCGCCTTCGCACGAGGCCGGCACGGCGTGGACTTTCACTTAAAGGTCCTCGAACAGCCCGTGCGTGGCTCGGTGCTTGCGTGTGGTTCGGTGCTGAGCGTCGACCTGTGAACCAGGAGGTCACGGTTCCGTTCCTGGTCAGGGCACGTGCCTGGGTGGGGGGCTCGATCCCCCGATCAGGGCATGTGATGGAGGCAGCCAGTCGATGTTTCTCTCTCTCATGGATGTCTCCCCCTCCCATCCCCACCCCACTTGTCTCTATAATCAATGAAATAACATAAAAAGAACTGCTCTTTCCTCTACCCCCCACCCCACCCCGGTAACCCCAACCCCAAGGCCCTGAGATACAACAAGTCCTGGTGGAAGCCCTGCGTTCACGGGGTGGGGGTGGGGGGTGGCTTTTGTGCAGGAATGTGGCTGGCACAGCCCAGCCCCAGCCGAGCGGTTTGCTCAGCGTCCTGGGAAGGCATTTGCCTTAGTCATTCTTCTCACGGAGCCACACCAGCTGCCGCTGGCTGCGCTTTCAGTTTCGAGGGCCGCACACCGGCCTGCGTGTGTGTGGAGTGTTCTCGCCCTGGGGCCTGCCGGTTGAGGCTTGAGCCGCGCGATAGACAATTCCCCCCTTTAAAGGGGTTTTAATTACGGCACCGAACGCGTTGCACAAGTGCTCATCTGTGATAATCACGACCAGAGAACTCCTTATCAGTGCGGCGTAGTCATTTGCTTAAGTGATTTCAATGTGATGTTTGTTAATATGCATATCTTATTCCAGGGAGGCAGGAGGGAGTGGAGAGAAATGTTGCCTTGCTTCGTACTGAGGATCCCAAGCAGTCCCTTCTGTCTTCCTTCCCTCCCTCCCTCCCTCTCTCTCTCCCTCCCTCTCTCTCTCCCTCCTTCCCTCCCTCCTTCCCTCCCTCCTTCCCTCTCTCTCTCTTTCCTTCCCTCCCTCCCCCTCCTTCCCTCCCTCTCTCTCTCCTTCCCTCTCTCCCTCCTTCCTTCCCACCAAGGCCTCTTTAATGCTTCTGCATTTCATAACCTCATCCTGTCTGAAAGCCGTTTCTATCCGTTAGGCAACGTCTTTCTTAATCTGTAATTAATTCCGTCTTCCCCCCGCCCCCCTGTAATCCTTAGCGGCCTGCGGGCACCAGGTTGGGGACCGCTGGCCAAGTCGAATCTCCCTTCATTTATTTCTTCCCTCAAGGACCGAATCTGTTTGTCTGAATCACGTACAATCACAGGATCGAAGAGACTTGAGCCTGGACGCATGTTTTCTGTCGCCTTCATTCCCTGGAAGGCCCTGCAGGTCGGCCTCTCCTTCCCGAAGGCCCCTCCCTCTCCCTTCAGCCACCGATGGCGAGTCGATGCTGCAGAATGAGCGATCCCCGCGGGCCTGTCTCCCTAGATGGTTTGTTTAGGAGCAAACAGTGATTCCCTCTTCCTGTGCAATCTGCCGTGAGGATGTCAGGATCCTAGCAAGTTCTGTCCGAAGCTACGGCCGGGAGGAGGGGGCGGACAGTAAGAGAAAGGACTTATGGGACAACATCTCAGAGTTCAGACCAGGGTCACAGAGACCTCAGTCACACTACACGGCAGACTCTTTTTTAATATGTTTTTATTGATCTCAGAGAGGAAGGGAGAGGGAGAGAGAGAGAGAGAAACATCCCTGATGAGAGAGAATCACTGATCGGCTGCCTCCTGCACGCCCCACACTGGGGATCGAGCCCGCAACCCGGGCACGTGCCCTGACCGGGAATAGAACTGTGACCTCCTGGTTTGTAGGTCAACACTCAACCCCTGAGCCACACCGCCAGGGCCACACACCTGTACTATTTGTAAGTGTACACACAGTTCAGTGGTAGGACGTGCCTTCACCTTGTTGGGTGACCATCTCCACATCCACCTGCAGAACTTCTTCACCTTGTAAAACTGAAACTCTGTCCCGTTAACCAGTACCTCCTCATTTCCCCTTCCCCCGGGCCCTGGAGACCACAATTCTACTTTCTGTGTCCGTGAATTTGACTATTCTCAGAACCTCGTAGGGGTGAAACCACAGCACATGTGTCCCCTTGTGATTGGCTTATTTCGCTTAAGAATAAAGTCTTCAGCCTAACCGGTTTGGCTCAGTGGATAGAGCGTCGGCCTGCGGACTCAAGGGTCCCAGGTTCGATTCCGGTCAAGGGCATGTACCTTGGTTGC